GTGTGCAGGGGTGCTTTGCAAGCAGTCACCTCCACGTTTGCAAGGGCCGCGGGGTGAAGCTGCAGAGTTCCAAGGAGTTTCTGCACCAGCTGTGCGAGCTCCTGCCGGCTTGCGGCCTGCCAGGTGCCGGGACCGAATGCTGACTCTCGATCCCCAGGGGCCAGGAAGTTCAGAACCCCGGCAGCTGACAGGGCTAGCGGCGAGGCGCAGGTGCTTTTCCGGTAGCCTTTCCCGCCCCGGGCGGCCCAGAGTCCAAAACAAACGCAGGCCCACTCTGCCAGTGCCTCTCAGGAGCGCGCCCACCGCCCCTTCCGACAAGTTTGCGGGCGGAAACAAAACCGTCGGAGCGGCTGCCGCCCTCGCTCTGCGTGGGTGGCCGGGAAAGCCGCGGGGGGCAGCTTGCTAGATAACTCCAGCTCTGGGGCAGCTCCCGGCGCTGCGAGCTCAGGGGGCTCTGCCGACCTGGCTCCAGCCTTCGCCCCCTGCCGAGCCTGCAGGCCGCAGTCTGGGTCGGGTTCTCGTCGGTGTGCGGAATCCCCTTTTTCTTTCACATGTATATATGTATTCACTCTGTCACCCAGACTGGAGAGCAGTGGTGTGATCTTGGCTCACTGTGACCTCCACCTGTTAGGCTCAAGTGATTCTTCTGCCTCAGCCTCCCGAGTAGCTAGGACTATAGGCATGCACCACCATGCCTGACTAACTGCTCTTTGATTTTGTATTAATTTGCAGCTTCTCTTTAGATGTAAGCAGCTCCTTAGAATTTTTTTAAAATCCTTAAACTCTCCCTTCACATTTATTAGAAAAAAATAGGAATTCATAATAATCAGGGGCATTAGGTGTTTGAGAAACAAAAACATTGTTTGGGAAGTTAATTTTTTCATGTGAAACCTGTCGTCCAGAATGTACAACATTAATTGAGTGTGGACTAGGAAATGTAATCCTTGCCTTGGATTAGCTCAAGGGAAAAATCTGTACTCACATACAAGATGAGAATTTATGGGAGTTACTGAATAATATGTTTAAAAGGTGTATACTAACAAACAACAGGCAGTTTACAAGAGGCGCCCTGCAGCTTGCCACGAAATCCTTCCAACTAAAGTTTCCATAATCTCTAAAACAGAATAAATAATGTAAACCCATTTCAAATTTTTAGGGCATGGCTACTACCATAGAAGCTTTGTTCTCAATTCAGATTTTTATATGAAATTAAAGTCATATAAACATAGCAAATAGGATGAGTGTCTGGCTAGATATTGTAACTATTTATGCCTGGTGTCAGTAGTTGGTTTAATTGTTTTAACGTAATCTCAGTGGAAGAAGAATTTGTTGACAGTGGCCTGGAGTAAATGTGGGAAAATCTAGGGATCTTTGCAGCTTGGGCACCATCACACAATTGTTTTTATTGCTGTATTTACTTCTTACACACACAAGCCCAGGTGGGCTGTTTCTTTACCCTGAAGTGTTGAAGCATCTTTTTGAAAGGACAATTTACAGATGCATATCTATCCAAAGAACAGATATTTGCAAGTGATGATGATTCAGTAAGCTAATAGAATAAGAACTGTTTTAAATTGTATCCATCTGAATACAGTTGCTAAAATAACAATGTAGTTTGGTTTTAGTACAGGAAAATAAAACACAAGCCAAAGATACCTTTTCCTTTTAAATAAGCCCCCTAAGTCCTAGAGAAAACTTCTCAACTTGTATAGATGAAAGGATTTAAATTGTGTAAAACCCCAGATTATGTACACATTTGAACTGGAAATTTTAAGAAGATGGCTATTTATTTTAGTATTCTCTGTATCTTCTTCTTTTTTTTTTTTTTTGAGACGGAGTTTCACTCTTGTTACCCAGCCTGGAGTGCAATGGCGTGATCTCAGCTCACCGCAGCCTCCACCTCCTGGGTTCAGGCAATTCTGCCGCAGCCTCCTGAGTAGCTGGAATTACAGGCACGCGCCACCATGCCAGCTAATGTTTTGTATTTTTAGTAGAGATGGGGTTTCACCATGTTGACCAGGATGGTCTCAATCTCTTGACCTCATGATCCACCCACCTCGGCCTCCCAAAGTGCTGGGATTACAGGGTTGAGCCACCACTCCCGGCTATTCTCCGTATCTTTTGTTGATTAATTCCATTTTTCTTAGTCTCTTTGGTTACAATAGATGTGTGTTATGATTCACTAACAAAACCTTTCTCTGTAAACATTTGGAGACCTTGCCAGTTCTAAATTGAAAATTTGGCAAATGTGGGAATTATTGTTGTAGAGAAGCTAACAGGCCACAAGCAAACTGTTTTTTGGGTGCCATTTGATCTGGTGATATTTGAAGAGAAAAAGCCTTTGAGATTATTAATTTACAGCAAAATTTTTGGAGAAGTGTAGCATAATCTACCAAACTATGGTTCCTGGTTTCTCCATGACAATCTTGTGTTTTTCACCATTTGTCAGTCATGACTGTCCCCTTTACAGAATTTATGCCAAATAAAAAACTTTAAAATTGAATATAAGATTGGAATACAATTTCACTTTTTTTTGGTAAAGTGGCCATTTGGGCTGATTGTAATTTGTCATTTATGTAGGCTTCCTCCTGCTTAAATTTCGTTTTGCAGCCTCTTTCATTGTCTGTCAAAGTGGGAGTAAAATCAAAATTGCTGGAGGTGGGACCCTGGGATCTGCCTTTACAATAGACATCACCAGTAAACTTTTTTTTTTAAGACCAAAATCACACTCTTTGTCCCCTAGGCTGAAGTGCAGTGGCACAATCTGGGCTCACTGCAACCTCCACCTGCTGGGCTCAAGTGATCCTTCCACCTGTAACTCAAGTAGCTGGGACTACAGGCATGTACCACCAGGCCTGGCTAATTTTTACATTTTCTGTGGAGTTGGATTTGTGTCATCTTGCCCAGGCTAGTCTCAAATTCCTGAGCTCAAGTAATCCACTTGACTCAGCCTTCCAAAGTTCTGGGATTATGGGCATGAGCCAGTGTCCAGCTAGGTAGCCTTTAATGATTATTTAAGTATTAGGTAAACTTTAAGAGTCATTTAGATTTTAGCCGGGCGCGGTGGCTCAAGCCTGTAATCCCAGCACTTTGGGAGGCCGAGACGGGTGGATCACGAGGTCAAGAGATCGAGACCATCCTGGTCAACATGGTGAAACCCCGTCTCTACTAAAAATACAAAACATTAGCTGGGCATGGTGACCCGTGCCTGTAATCCCAGCTACTCAGGAGACTGAGGCAGGAGAATTGCCTGAACCCAGGAGGCAGAGGTTTCGGTGAGCCGAGATCGCACCATTGCACTCCAGCCTGGGTAACAAGAGTGAAACTCCGTCTCAAAAAAAAAAAGAGTCATTTGGATTTTAGGTGTTTTAGGAGTCATAACTTCCTGTTTCAGATGCTATGAAGGGAAATGAAACACACCTTCCTCCCATTCTTTACTCTCTTATACACAAATAATTTTGACAAAAGTTTTCATGTGAAAGAAATTCACCTGGATGGCTCAAGGTGAATTGTCTAGAAATCTAATTGCTCACTGCCACCACAGGTTCATGCAGAGCTGACATGTAGTATAACTTGTTTAATACTCCTAAATAATCATTATAGGCATAATAGTTATGAAGGAAAGCAGTCTTAAGGATATTTCCTCAGTTTCAAAACTAAGAGGTCAGTTCTTCAAGTATTGTCAATCATTGTCATTATTATCATGATTAGCAATAGCAGTTTAAAACATTGTGCTTTTATTCATTTATTTTTGAAACAGAGTCTTGCTCAGTCACAGCCTGGGATGCAGAGGTATGAGCATGGCTGACTGCAGCTTTGACCTCCCAGGCTCAAGCCATCATCCCACCTCAGCTTTCTGAATAGCTGGGGCCACAGGCATATGCCAACATGCCCAGATAATTTTTAAGCTTTTTTTTTTTTTTTTTTTTTTTGTACAGATGGGGTTTCACTTTGTTGCCCAGGCTGGCCTCAAATTCTTGTGCTCAGGCAAAGCTCCTGCCTCAGCCTCCCAAAGTGTTGCAATTATAGGCATGAATTACTGTGCCCAGCCACATTTGTGCTTTTAAAGTTGAGTTGGGAGGTCTATATGCTTTCTACAATGTGTAGGAGGTCTTGACTGATCTTGTATTGTATTGATGATTTTTCAACCAAAGTTTTAGTCATTTAACTGTTGGCCAAGAGAGAATCTTCACAAACTAAAAGGATAGTTTATATATTCATCCAAAAAGTAACTATAATATCCCTCATCTTGAGGCCGGGCGCGGTGGCTCAAGCCTGTAATCCCAGCACTTTGGGAGGCCGAGGCGGGTGGATCACGAGGTCAAGAGATCGAGACCATCCTGGTCAACATGGTAAAACCCCGTCTCTACTAAAAATACAAAAAATTACCCGGGCATGGTGGTGCGTGCCTGTAATCCCAGCGACTCAGGAGGCTGAGGCAGGAGAATTGCCTGAACCCAGGAGGCGGAGGTTGTGGTGAGCTGAGATCGTGCCATTGCACTCCAGCCTGGGT